ATATTGAATTATTTAAAATCTAAAAGTTCCTATCAAATAATTAACTAAAATATACACCTACCTACAGCGTACCTCTCTTTACATAAATATGCACTGTACACAGACTAGAAAAATAACAAAAAAGAAAAAAGCAAAAAAAAAAAACTGTTGGAAACAAAAGTTTTGCATTTAATGCGCGTGGCAGCAGAGAAGTTTTTGCAGCCGTTCAGCCATGCAACGTGCAACGTGCAACGTGCAACGAGCAACGTGTTAATTAAATACCTGTTTACCTAATGTAGTTTGCAAATAGAAGTTTTAAATGAATGTTTGGGTCAGCTAATGGCAGTGCCAACCCCCTTCTACCGCCTCCTTTGCAGATCTTACGCCCATGGACTACTATCCGGACTCGCATCCGGCGCTGCACTTGGTCGTCTACAGTGTCAACCAGAAGGGACGCTCTGAGCCGATTGTTCTCGAGAATGTGCCCATCAATGAGGCGGACAAGCGTTCAGGTGAGTGTCGCTGCTTATGAATTGTGCTTTACCTATTTAACAACTAAAACATAAAAAAACAAATATCTAAACAACAACAAAAAATATGACAAGAAATGAACAACTACAACAACAACGAGGGCGAGGGAAACATGGCACATACAAAGTTTGCATTTCGCATTGTCCCCAAAGTGTGTTTGTGTTTCAGTGCAAAGTGCGGCCCGGGCGCCCCTCAAAGTGTGCAACACGGTGAAAAGTTAGCTTTGTGAGTGGGCGGTGGGTGGGTGCAGGGTGGTGTTTGGTGGGAACAGAGCATTCATTGCTTTTTAAGCACCATTTCACCTTTAAAAAGTCATTCAAGTATTTGCATAGTCTGCTTAACCGTTTTAGTTTTTTTGTAAGTACAATTGTTCTTTTATTTAACGAGTTTTGTTTACGTTTGGGGGCGACAGTTGCTTCAACTTCTTTGCTGCTGATGCTGTCCCCATGTAAAGCCCCCATCCCCCTCCTTGACCCAACGCGCTGCTAACCACGGCAAGTAGTGTCGCTAAGATTTCTTATTCATGCTTTGTTATTCAACTCTGACGTTAATTTTCTTGAAAAGTTTCCCTTTTATTTTTTGCGTTTTTCCTTCTCCCTTGGAATTTCTAAAAATGCCAAAGAAAAAAGTCGGGTAAATTGTGCGGAAAATGTAGGAAAGGCTTGTTTTACACGCACTTTAGAATAGATTGATTGGAGTTCGGTAAGAAAACGAAAAAAGAAAGACCTGAATTTAAACTTGAATTTATCCTAACTTTACTTAGAGCAAGCATACTGAAGCACACCAAAGTATATCAATTCCTAAACATGTGGAGAATAACTCGGACTGATAAAGTATTATTTCAATTAATTACCATTTTCATGAATAAGAATAATTATGACTAATCTTTTAGCACGTCCACTGGGCAACCGCATAAATATGCAAAATTTGATCCATTCCACATTCAAGTTAAATTCAAATGCAATCAATTAGGCCAAAATCAAACAAACATAAATTGTGTACAAAATAATTGGAACAAAGCGAGCCGCTTAATCAGAACTTTCATTGATGCACCTGGCCATATCATCATTGGGCTAGACACACATAGCACATTGATTTATTATGATATTATGTTATTAAGTAGGTTGAAATCCAGTGCGGATTTGGTGAGCTAATATTGCACTAGCTCTCTCTCACTCTCTCTATCTCTATCTATCCCTCTCTTTCCCACACTCTCCTTGCTCGCCCACTAAATGATATATTTGTAAGCTTTGTCCATTCAGCATGAGCAACAAATCCACTCAATCATCTCTTTAATGCGCATTAGAGCAACACACATCACACACACACACACACACACACACATACATACACACAATATTGGTCAGTGGGCCAATTTATGGAAAAGATACGAGATATGATGGCATATGAGTTAGTTAAATTCACTTGGCTATTATATAGAGCAGCTGCTGTGGCGCTAAACACTCGTAAAGGAATCGAAATATGCAATCAAAAATATATATTAAATATGAGATTGGGTTGTAAAAAAAACAGCAAAGCTTTTTCAGGCTTAAATATTTTCTTATAATAAGACAAATTCCAAAAGCAAATGAAAAATTATGAATTGAAGACATTTTTTTAATATCTAACTAATTTAAAATATAATTATTTAAATATAATTTATATATATATATAATTTAAAATATATATTATTCGCTGTGCTTAATTTTATATATGTGTACTTACTTTATATTTTTATATTATATATTAATTTAATTTGAATAATATTAGTTCTCTTCGTTCTATTAACCATTTAGGTCTTTATTTATATTTCTTGTGCTACAGTATATTTTCTATACCAAAATTTAGCTTTAAATACATATATTTGTAGCTAATCTATATGCCAAATTTATTCATATTATATATTGAAACATTTGGTGCAAGAGTGACTAAAGCAGACTAGTACTTCATTTCTGCAAGTGTGTAGCCATGTGAAACAAAGGTACATATAGAGCCATGTACATATATTTATATATTGCATGGGAGAGTAATACGGAAAAATGCAATATACGTCAAGTGTCAATATTTGCACCTTGGCAAATTTGAAAGCATTTCATTCGACACTTAACTGGATAGATTTGGATGCCAGCACACAGGGCCACACACACACACACACACACACATGCACGTGTGAAGGTGGCGTAGAGTGGAGTGGTGCGGTGTGGAGTTTGGGGTGTGGGCGAAGTGGGTCCACTGGGAAGCTGTGGAATTTTTTGGAACAGTTTACAATGGCAACGCCTTGACGCCATCACATTAATGTAAATATAATCAATTTCATGTTTTACCTTAGCCAAAAAGAACCAACCACGCAGTGAAAAGAAATATCTTGTTATGCTAAACTGACACACAGAGATTCCCCAAGAGTTACATTATCCACATTGAGCATGCCAGGCTGCGCAGCGCACAGTGTGCATAGGTATATACAGTATATACATATATGTATGTATATATATATGGGCGCATCTGCGGCGTCAAGGTAACAGCATATCAGACGACAGCGAGCGGAAACGTAACAGACACTGAGCCACAACCTGGCTGCCACACAGTTACTGCCACTGCCACTGCCACTGCCAGCGTGCCACATGCAACACAAAATATAAACGATTACTGTAAGACAAGAAAAATATACATTAAACATGTCTTATCTGAATAAAATATCCCAAAAGACAACGGCGCTGAAAGTAAAGTAAAATAAAATTATATCCTATATATATGTATGTAAGGCAGATCGAAGTGGTTGCTGGCTGCCTGGTGACTCCTGCCCTGCCAGCGGTTTGGCTGGCAATGTGTCCGCCTTGATGAAAACGCCAGCTACGGCGATAGGCCAACGAGGAGCAGAGCTACACTGGGTAGCGGATGTGGAGCGGGGGCGACTGTACACGATACAGATACTACATTGTTTGGTATTCTGGCATTCACACACACACCCGCACACATGGCGAAACACACATTTTATTTATGCTTACTTTGTGTAAAGGTAAACGTAACCGTAAACGCATTCCCGTTTCGGCGCCGGAGTCGAAGGCAGCGCCTCGGCGGGCATGTGAGCAGCATCGTCATCGTAATCCCAATACATTTTAACCAATCCACTTTTTCATCGTTTCATCGAATCATTTATATCACAAACGGGAGCATTAAATCGAATTAAGCTTATAAGCAGATACAGCCCAACCCAAATCCAACCCAACCCAACCCAAGCTCAAAGCCAGCCGAGGCCCATCGGGCGCAAGTAGTAGATTCGTCTACGTCCTGCACTCAACAAATGAAACGCATACAAACAATTGGCTTATGAGCGGTACGCAGGACGTTGTCTGGCCAATGTTTGTGATGTGGTGCCGCGCTGTGGTGCTGCGGTGCTGCGGTGCTGTGGTTGCTGCTGTGGCATGCAGCATACAGGTTCTCTCTGGGCGTCGCTTCTCCTGCTTTGGTTGCCTGGCTTATCTGCTTTACTTTGGGCCATGCGCCAGCTCGCTCCCCAGTGTAAACGCTTCTCAGTCCCCTCCGCTCGCTGCCGTCGCAGTCCACCTCCAGCGCTGCGTCCTATCTGCTGCATGCTTTATTGATAAATATTTGCACAAGTGTGAAAATTTCATTACGCTGCTCTGCTTATATTTAAATTACTTTCTTCATTCCCTTGATATGCCCTTTTGCAGAGGGTATGCCAATTTCGTGTTCGCCTATGAGACGTGTGGAGAGATAGGTGTATCTGATATATAGATCGTAATATTTAAAACAGCTGAGAGCTGTCAGAGAATCGATTGTTGAAAGGAAACTCACTTTTCATATGAACAATATTTTACTTTCCGAAACTCTTGAAAGTTGGAATCTATTATGTTAAATGGAACTTCAAGAATTTCTCAACTAATCACTTCTAAATCCATATTAAGCCTCAGAGAATCCGTCTTTTATATGAATTAGGTTCCACAGCAGCCAATACTCTGTATCATATGACCACCAGGGCATCTGATCTTCGTTATATAAGGGCTAGCACTACTTAAATTTCGTCGTTCCTTTGTTGCTGCTGGCAGCTCAACTTGCCCGTCGTTTGGCATCAGTTTCAAGTGTCTTCCTGCTAAGGAATATATACGTATATGTATATGTGTGTGTGTGCTTTATATCAACATATATATAAATATATTATTTGGCCAGCGATTGCTCACTTTGGCATTCTTTTATGGTCTGTGTGTTGGGTTTCTTTTTGATGTGTTTGGGGATTTGTATTCGACGTCTAGCTTTGAGGTAATGCGATGCCAATCTATTAAGTAAACTGAGAGCTCGCATGCACTCACATGCCTTATTGAAATATATATTCAAAGCAGGCGAGCAAAGCTATTTTCAAAACCCAGAAACTCATTTATACCTGATGAGGTACGACATTGAAAGGCATATATATATATTTTTATAGAAAAGTTTTCAATGTAAGGCAACGAACTTAACTTCGGGCTAGGCCTCTGAGCGAATTGATGAGCAAACCATTAAGCCTTGATTGAAATATAATTAGGTATAAAATAAAACTCTCTGCACTGATTTAATTCAGTTTAAACTATATTGACTAAATCAATAAATAATATAATAATAATATTGAAAAGAAAAGTTCATTAGATTCAATAAACTATTTACAATCAATCATTAGACTGACTATTAAAAATATTAAACATACATATATATATATTTTTTAGATATATGAATATTGTTTATAAAAGTTGAATACACTTGAAAACATTAATAAGAAAAGCCACTCTACTCTGGCATATATTATTTAAGCGTGAGAGAAAGCTCATTAGGACTTCAAATAAATGAAATGGATATTTGTTTAATAAAGTAAAGAGCAAGCCACACTGCTCACCGTAACCTAATTGAAATTTAATGAAATCTTAAAAAAAAAAACACACACACACACATGAACACGTACATAATTTTTTGTTAGATTTGCACGTTTTCTGTAATATTTTCGTGGATTTTTTCAAAAGTCATGTGCCAACAATTACAACACATGCACAAGGCTGTGCACGAGTGTGCGTATTTGAAAGTACAACCTATACATGCATAATGTGCGTGTGTGTGTGTGTTGCTGTTGTTGTTGCTGTTGTACTTCTAAGCGCAGCCGTGCATAAATGAGCAATTCCGCTCGCGGCGCTGTTTCGTCAACATTTGGTGAACAAAAAAAAACAACGAAAATATTTATTGATTTGCAAGTTTGGTTTCGGTGCTGTCGACAGGCGTCTGGCTGACAGGCGCAGGTTTATAAATTAGCAACAGTCTGTGCGACTACAGCACAGCAGCCCCACTCCCGCCCACCGCCCACCGCGCAGCAGTTAGCCAGCTTTAGCTTCGCCATTTCGCCATGTTTGCTTATTGAAATTCTGTATTGCATATCCGCAGGCGCGCATGATTTGTTGAATGTTAAACACATTTCAACTACACCACGTTCGCGTTAACGTAAACGAAATACTTATGGCCTTGTAATGCATATTCAATTACGCCAACGTCAACACCAAAGGCCAACGCAGCCCAAAAAATCAAATGACTTTTAATTGGGGTCTCGCCAACACCACTAACAACAACAACATCTGTTGATACTTTATATATTTAATTAGGATTGGCCTCTGATCGAACAGCGCTCAATGGTCCTTTCAATCGTGTTTCAGTTTTTCTGCTGCCTTTTGTGACTATTTTACACGTGATTTGCATTTTAATTAGGAATTCTAATTTCGAATCAAACACAAAATTCTCTTCATTTTCAACCTGTTTTATACTGTGAATAGTTGTTTCAATTAAACTCAAATGTCAACTAAATTGTAATCACATATTTAACTGGTCAGAAAGAGCACAAAATTTAGTTTAAAAAAAAATTTATTTGGATTCAGAAAATGAGAATAAATGAAGGAAATAGTTCTTTTGATATAGAAATATTGTAAATAAATAAATTGTGTAAATATATATTGCTCATATTACAAAACTAAGCTTTTATTAAAATATATCTACGTTTGTAATTCTATTAAATATTCCATATATATTTTGAATACCGACTCTACTCCTCAATATTACCCTCTGAGAATTTGATTAATGAATATAAGAAAGAAAATAAAAGGACTGATTGGAATAGGATATCTCGTTGTCCATAAAAATTAGTTATAATAAACCAAATCAAAATGCCTAGACAATAAATAATTTGAAAATAATACTTCTAGCGTCTATATCTAACGATATATAAAGGCAACTCTAAAGATCCGTAACTACATATATCTTATTCAGTTCTAATTTTCAATCATTTGCGTTAATTGCTCATCGTTAATCGATTGTCTGTCCTTTTGGCACTTGCAGATGGACGCATGGGTCTATCCATATTGCCGCTGGCAGCGCTGCTCACTGGAACGCTCTTCACCGTGGGCATTGCCGTGTTGTTTGTGGTTGTCATTGCGGTGCGTCGTCGCCGGTGCCAGGGAGCGCGAAATTTGTGCGATGACAAGGACAAGCATTTGGGTGAGTAGGACGAGAGTGGAGATAGGCCTTGGTCAGGGCAGGGCACGAAAAAATAACCCGAGCACCATTTCATTTGATGCGTCAGGTATGGATGTGACGGTCACTGCACCGCTGGAGACTGGCGCCGGGCATCAGCGCCTGGTTGTGGCCTACACGCTGAAGCAGGGCATCGAGAAGCAGCCGGACATACTGAGTGCACAAAAAAGCGCAACTGGCAGTGACACATCGTCGCCGTTGGGAAATCGACAGAGTGGTTTATTTATGGGCGGCAGCAACGGCGCCGCGCCCAGCGGCGCAGCGAATCATAAAACTGCGGAATATGTAAGTAGTTGTAGCTGTAGCTGTAGCTGTAGCTGTGGCTCCCTGCACACACATGCGAAAGGCGTTGCATGCTGACATTTGGCGTATTGCAGGACGTGAATGTGCCGCACCTGAACAGCCCGCCCTCGCAGTCCAGCACACTGAAACTGGAAAGTGAGAATGCAGCGAAAAACTATCAGCCGCCGGCAGCGGCGGCTGCTCCGCTCCTCTACGATGCCATGCCCACGCTTAGTCGCTACGAGCAGCTGGGCCTGAATGTGGGCGGCTATGCCGCCGGCGGTGGAGGCAGCAACAGCACGCTCAGCTCCGCCGGCAGCGTGGCCAACTCCACGAGCAATGCGCTCGGCACTGGCAGCAGCAGCAGCGGCGGCGGTCACTATGGTGTCCAGCATTTGCATCACACTCTGCCCCACGGCATGGCCACGGGCAGCTTGCCGCGCGGACGGGACCCGCTAACCCTGGCGGATTACCTGACCACCAGCAGCCTGATTGACTATAATCTGAGCAAGGCGGCAGCCACGGCAGCGCCGATGGGCACGCATATGACGCTGCCCAAGGGCCTGGCTGGTGGTGCCGGCCTCTCGCCATCGCAGCTAACCACCATTACACAGAAATCGAACGCTGGACGCAATCATATCATCACGGACACGCTGCCCGGCCCGGAGAGCTGCGTCTAAGCTGCGACTATCGAATTATCCTGGCATCAAACTAAAGACTGGCGCACAACCGAAAACAGAGATTCAAGAGAAACAAAAAACCGAAACACAAATCGAATAGCAAAGCAGTAATTGAAGTAGTTGAATGAGAAATCAGAATAGTAAATCTATATATATACACACATACATATATATATATAGAGCTAGGGCAAACACTTACTAAAACAAAAAGTAAACTAACTATTCGTAACTAGCAAACGGTTCTACGATCGTGTCTCTAAGCATTCAATTCTTATTGTTAGACCTAACTGTAGATTTTAATATTTAGTCAATGTATGTGTTCGTGTGCATGTGTGTCTGTTTGTACATGTTTAGTGTAAATGTGTTTCTAGCTGTAAACATATACATACATATTTATACATATATACATAAATAGAAATTTATAGCCAGGTAGTCAGCATCAAGTATGATCAGATGTAATTGAATATATCCATGCTTCTCTGACAAGGTATTGGGTGAAGGCCAATCTATAAACATCTGCTAAATGGAATTGTATTACCTTAAAGAAAGATTTCTGTTAATTTTGAATGCGCATCTTTAAGGGTGATATTCGACTTTTAGATATCAGTAAAATAGGTGAAAATATATTTGACTCCACTGAGATTTTGGTAATCTGAATCTAAGAATATTTTTAACAGAAGTTGTCGTCAAAGCGGGTTCCTATAAACAATCATAATATCAATTTGAGTAAAAATAAACTAAGTATAAACAGTTATTCATACTTGATGCTGAACCTGAGGCCGAACTATTATAAAAAAAAAAACATCTTGTTGAATTTTGCTGTGTACTTCCAAGCAAACCCCAAAGTGTTGTTAAGATAAGTTTTCCTTTCCCTCTTTTACTCGATGAGAACATATCCTACCAAAAGAGAACAAAAAAACATATCCTTTACTGTCCAATGGAGCCTTTACCGTTACTTAGCCGCAACTATTTGAACTGCTGCCCAAGATCAAAGTCGAAAAACAAGCATTTCACATTTGGGGGTCAGTCCGATGGGAAAAAGTTATATTGGGAACACGTCGTGGGCCATTGCCTGTCCCTTAGAGAGAGAGAGAGCGAGAGCGAGTGAGCGGCGGGGAGAAACAGAGAGAGAGAGAGAGGTAGAGATGGGGAAAAAGCGAGCCATTTTGGCCATTATTTAACTTTTAAACACGCACCAGGAACAGCAGCCCGGCAGATTTGAATTTAATGGGCATTGGGCATTGGCCATGGCTAACAGGCCGGCCATCCAGCCAGCCAGTCAGCTAGCCAACAAGTGAGCAATAAAGAAAAGTTTAGAAAAATATGCGATAACCGCCCTGTGGATACCCATAATAAGCTCACGAACGATTGAATGGCCATGGAACACAATAAAAGCTGGCTAAGGACTCAAACGAACTGCGGGCCGAGCTGGCGGACGGGCGAAAACTCGGGCATGAATTTGTGCGCACGATAGCGCAAAATGATGACAATAAATGGAAAAGTTTTTAATAAGCCAATAAAATGATTTATATGGCTAACATTGAGCTAGAGAGAGACAGAGAGAGAGAGAGAGAGAGAGAGAGAGCAGCATAGAGCTAAGGTATGTGCCGCACACTCAGCAGGTTTATTAATCGTAGGCCAAATGCCGATTGTTGATTCACCAACTGCTTCCGACAATTTGATAAACATGACTTTAACACACACATAAATTCCATAAAACAATTTCTAGAGTTAATTTAAAAGACAAACGAGAGGACACCTCCTGTGCGACCTGAGAGTAATAAATATTTTTTGTCTGAGTCGTTATCCGTTTGTCTTGAAGCACTATAAGCTTGAATTTCTGTATATATATCTGAGTTTCATTGTTTCAATAAAATCTGTATCTTCTGAATATTTTTAAATTATAAGCTTCTGAACTTGATTTCCTAGTTTTTAAATTGATCCTTTATCTTCTGTTGAAACATTGCCAACTTCTTAAAAAAATTCCAATTTCCAAATATTCATTCAATGCACGATTGCAGGGTATTTCCTAGCCAGGTATTTCCCACTAGAGCTTCCCATATCATTTTTGTTAATCAATTGTTAAGAGAATACAACGAATTAATTAGTTATAATTGAAAAACTCTGGGACAGTCGTATTGGCAAGCAGTTCAAAAAGTTGTTGGAAAAATCAATTTTAAAACATCTATTTCTTTTAATTAAGTATTTAAAAAAAAAAAAAATGAGAATGCCTTTCGAAAAGGTATGGCAATTGTTATCAAGGCATGTTCGCATATCAGTAATGCATCCCATAAGTTTAAACTATTAAATTATTAAGTGTTCAAAGGTTGATCATCGTCATTTGGATTTTAGGGTCTATAAATTGCATTTCTATCGAAAAACAAACTCGAAGTAATTAAAAAATATATAAATTTAAATATTAAGAATGTGTGAATAAAACAGAAAAAAAGACATACAAAGTTGTAAAACGCGAAAGAGCATAAATTATATTGCTATAGGTAAAAGTAAAAATCATAAACTTCCTTCCTTCAACGTGTATAAGCTAACGTCCCCTGCTGTAGATATTCAATACGAGTAGTTGAAATTTTCAAAAAACGAAATCATGTAGTGCTGCATATACACATACATATACATATACATACACACGTATATTACGATCATGAACAAGATTATGAGTGAAGAGGAAAACAGCATATGAACATGTATCAAACGGGCCTCCAAGAGGGCGACGCATTGTACATAACTACATAAGTCAAAAAAAAAAAAAAAAAACCAACGTAAGCACGATGATTGTAACTATCTATGTAAAAATGCTTAAAATATTTGTGATAAAGTAATAGTGTTAATGATAAGTAATAAAACATGACATATTATGAAAAATATATCCATTGTTTTCCTTTACTCAGACTAGAAGTGCTAAAGTGGTTCATTTACTACGGTTCTAGAAGTCCGCGAATCATAATGTGACTCATAATATACTATTTAAAGCTCGTTCTCTATCAGAATTATATAGCACATATTATTTTTCTATATGCTGACTAGACCTCCTAGGAAATATGATATAAATATGTTCTTCTCTAAATGCAATCAGAATAGCCACAAGCTTGAGCCTTTATTGCTTCACAGACTGCTCTTCCCGTAACTATATACAACTCCCAGCTGAATCATTCACAGACATGTAGAAAAGTTCATTAAACGCATCAGAGCTAAGCGTAATGACAATACGCAATTATGGCACAATGACGCATATATTAATACTACATTCAATACTTATGAATCTGTAAATGAATCAGGGATATGTACATATATCTGACTGGGCAATGATAAATAATACATGCCCTATAGCTACTTAAGCTGGGATATGTAGTCTCTATTACAACTCCGTTTGGAGTCTTTGCCTAAAATCAGACTTTTTCGCGAAGTTTATCTTTCGAATTAACAGATCTTTATATTTTTATAAAACTATAAATAAAATAGGCTGAAAAAGGCCTCTAAAAATTTTACAAATTATTTATTAATAAATAAAATAAATAAATAAAAAAATAAATAAAGAAATAATTTGTAAAAAAAAAAAGTTATATTTTTTGATTAACTGCTTAAAGGGTATTCAAAAGTCTTTGCTTGATTTTATAAAACTATAAATAAAATAGGCTGAGAAAGGCCTCTAAAAATTATACAAATTATTTCTTTATTTATTTATTTTTTATTTATTTATTTTATTTATTATTTTTTTTTTTATTTATTTATTTTATTTATTAATAAATATAATTTTATTATAAATAAATAAATAAAAAAATAAATAAAGAAAAAATAAAGAAATAATTTGTAAAAAAAAAGTTATATTTTTTTATTAACTGCTTAAAGGGTATTCAAAAGTCTTTGCTTGACTTGTAGCTGACGCTTATCGCAGTTTACGGAATGAGGAAATGTTGACAGATTAAGCCGAAGCAGTGGCGTAGGCAGATTTTATTAGAGGGCGCCTGTCTAGACAGACCAATATAAATACCCTGATGCATACATAGATCACACTTCAGACATAGCAGTGTCTTTGCGAACCCCCCCGCCGACGCCACTGCGCGTCTACAAAAATACAGTTAGTGATTATACAGTCAGATTGCAGATTTTGATTTGTGCTCAAATTTACTCAAAAGCTCAGTGTCAACGCGTCTTTGAGCTCAGCATCAGCGAAATGAAGTCGTTTACTGTTTTTCTGCTGCTCACCTTTGGCATTGTCGCCTGTAGTGCCAGGGTATGGAAATTCGTCAGATTTGGTGCCCTATAATCAATAATGTTTTGCAGCATCATCATGAAGCTGATGCACCTAAGCTGCCCATTACCCTCTACTATGAAGCGCTCTGTCCGTACTGCATGCATTTTGTAACCACTCAGCTGAACCCGTCGATGGTGCGCAAGGATCGACTGCACTACACGAACCTAACCCTGGTGCCCTTCGGCAATGCCCACGTAAGTGATTTGCATGTGCAGCGACCATATGAATGAGCATTTGCTGCTGCAGCTGAACGAGAAGGGTGAGGTGACCTGTCAGCACGGCGAGGACGAGTGCGAGCTCAATGCCTGGCATGCCTGCATTCTGGAGCACAATGACATCAACATATCACTAAAGCTAATTGCCTGCATGATGCGCGGTCGCAAGAATAATCTAGACAAGTGCGCCAATAGATATGGCGTTGATGTGACTGCTGTGAAGGACTGCAAGAGCGCGCGCAGTGTGGATGAGATATTACAGAAATATGCTGAGGCGACGGCTCAAGTGGACTTCAAAGGAGTGCCGGCCATAGCAGTGGATAACGCAAGTATAGTCAGCTTATGCTCAAGATTATATTACAAACAATTCTCTATTTTCAATCAGGAAATCAAGTCTGATGACCAGGAAGATCTGTCGGATAACTTTGACCAAACATTCTGTGCCAAGTACAAAGCCAAGTTTAACATAAGACTCAAAAATTGTTAACAATATGCCATGCAATGTAGTTTTATGAACATTTATAGTTGCCTAATATACAAATATATACATAAATGGGTATTTTCAAAGTCACTGAGTCTTTGTGAATATAAAAAGCATTTGATTTTGGCCAACACTGGACGAAACGGTTTCAGTACATAATTAAAAACAAACCTTTAAAAGATCACAATTGAATATCTAACATAATTTTAGATGCATATTTAACATAGTTTTGATTTTGATTACCCCAATATTTATACCTTATATAATATTCAGCAATTAGTTTTTCTTTTCAAGCATTGCAATAATTCTGTCCAGCTTCGCGGTTTGCTGCGCTTCGAATTCATCCAGTCTTTTAGTAATTGTGATCTGCATCTGCTCGAACTTGGCGTCGATTTGCTGCTGTACACTTGGACTGATATCAGCGGCAGTGGCTGGAGGCATTGGATTAGGCTGTGCTGGGCACGAAAGGCCTTTCATCATGCACAGAAACTTTTGCAACTTCTCATCATTATCATCGGCTTGATTGGGCGAGCTGCTCGTGCCCCCTTTTTGCAACAACTCCTGTATCTTTTGTATATCAAATGGCTTTTGCTGCTGAGTGGTAATGCCATTCGGATTCGGAGCTATGTGCAGCATAGCGCCATAAACACAAATCTCGTTGGCCGAGGTGAGTAGCTTCAGGTTAATCTCGGCTATGCCAGAGCGATCGATTTCAAAATCGTAACGATAGGGTCGTATGGGTATATCCGCCTCTTGCTCTTCAATGCTGGTGCCATAGATGGTCTCCAAATACTCCTGTGTGGGCCCCACAAATACCTCCACTTTGGGTGCGCTGCACACAAGCGTTATGGCGGCAATTTTAAAACTTGGCGATATTTGAAATTGCAATTCACAGGGTATAGACGGGCAGTCGTTGTTCGAGAACAAAACAGCGC